TTCCAGATGCTTGATTCAGAATACTTTATGACTCGCGTAAGAAAAGGTTTCGATCGCGACTATCTTTTCTCACTCGCGTCATTGCTCTTCCAAGATTTGCAGTATTTTCAGACTCGCGTGTGGAAAGATTCGAATCCACCGGATTTTCATCCATACTTCTTCAAAATCAACTATTTCACGAGTAGAGCACGATATTACGCGAAGAATACGAGTAGTACGAAGGAAAATAAGAAAATAATTCAACGTTACGCGCGATATTTACGATAGGTCGGAGTTACGGACCGTGGTGGCGCTAGTGAGTTACGTGGAAAATTTTAAGGCTGCCTTGAAACGCTTACTGGCTGTAGAATATTTTTCGAAGTAATTGAACGGTACGCACGATATTTACGATAGATCGGAGTTACGGACCGTGGTGGCGCTAGTGAGTTACGTGGAAAATCTTAAGGCTGCCTTGGAACGCTTAGTCGTGAACGGATTGTCGTTCTATCGATCATATTTCTCAGTAGTTTTAACAAATTTGTAATTTTATCACCCTCTTTTTCTTCTTTTGTTACATAATTTGAAATTAATTATTTCTTTTTTCCCTTTTCAATACCGTGTTGAAGGATATTCGCACGAGGAGACATATTCGATCATTTCTAATTGCAACTGTCTTCTCTTGGATGCATTCGATTCGTTTATCGAGGTGGCTGTAGAATATTTTTCGAAGTAATTCAACGGTACGCACGATATTTACGATAGATCGGAGTTACGGACCGTGGTGGCGCTAGTGAGTTACGTGGAAAATCTTAAGGCTGCCTTGGAACGCTTAGTCGTGAACGGATTGTCGTTCTATCGATCATATTTCTCAGTAGTTTTAACAAATTTGTAATTTTATCATGCTCTTTCTCTTCTTTTCTAATTTATCTTGAAATCAATTATTATTTTTTTCCTTTTCCCGTGCCTTGTTGCATTATATTTACACGCGAAGAGATTTTCGATCGATTCTAGTCGTGACTTTTCTTTCAGACGCACTCGATTCGTTTATCGAGGTGGCTTTAGAATATTTTTCGACTCGTAAACCGACTGATCTCGATCCCGATTATCTTCTGTTAGTCACGCGTTATCGATTTATCAGAGCGACTGACGTAAAGTATTTCCTGGCTTGCATAGAAAAATATTCCAACTGCCTTTACGTTGCTTAACCTAGCGATGATGCGAAGCGAGCCTATTCGTAGAACAGATCCGTTCATTCATAAATCCTTATTAGAACCTGAAATCACGCGTGACATTCTTCACGGAGTAACCCAAATATTACGTTCTAATAAAATCTTCATCTTTGATGCGGTCGTCATCGCGATGATCATCAACGAACATCATTGATATTTTCCTTTCATCGTTATTCCGTTGATCCAACAGTGAAACGAATAACACGTTAAGTCTTTCGGTTCTACTCTGCAATGCAATTGAAAATCTATAAAAATATCCTTCGTGACTAGCATGTTAACCAATGCATAAACAACGAAGTGCAATATTTCGTGGGTAATTTCGAAATAATACCACTGACGTTGAAGGTGTTAACTAGCTACACAACGTAAACGTTCAACTACGACACGTGAAATTGCAAAAATATTTTCTCTAAGAAATAAAAAAGAAACATAGGCTTTCAATCTACTGAAGCTGTCAACTCTACCACATGGATCTACCAAAGCGGAGAAAAATGAAGGTAGAAAAGTATGGTGGGTAGTGGAAACCAGGTGAGTCGATAAATTCGAAACAACGGAATGGACGGTAGCGATGGGAAAATTTGTTCGTACCAAAAGCTCGTTTCTATCCTCTAACAACTGTAACAGGCAGTATTGATGACTCGGGAGCGCAGTGGTATCGGCGAGAGGGAGACAAGGTGGGTATGAGGCCGGCTCGAGGCGGGCAGGGGGTTTGAAGGAAATGAGCGCGCACACTTACGCTTACGCGTTACGAGCGTGTAGTAAATGCGTGTAGAGGCGACCGCATCGGTAAACCGATTAAACGACTTACATAAGTTCCAGTTGGCGGAGCCTCGAAGATACGTAGATTCGATGGAAAGAGGCCCCGATGGATACGAGCGACCAGACCGCAGCCACGGCAACGACAGCCGCGTCGGGAATCGATAGAGGATCGATGAACACAACCGATCGCGAACCGATAGAAAACCGATATTAAAATGACCGAGAACCGATCTCGAATCGATCGAGAACCGGTTGAGTAACGATTAAAAATACGCTTGCGAGTCGATTAAGAACCGATTGCAAACCGATTGCGAACCGATTGAGAACCGATACAGGAATGACTGAGAACCGATCGTAAATCGGTTTTGAATCGATCGAGCAACGATTAAAAATACGATGGTGAATCGATTAAGAACCGATTGCAAACCGATTGCGAAACGATTGCGAACCGATTGAGAACCGATTGAGAACCGATACAGGAATGACTGAGAAACGATCTTGAATCGATTGAGAACCGGTTGAGTAACGATTAAAAATGCGATTGCGAGTCGATTAAGAACCGATTGCAAACCGATTGCGAACCGATTGAGAACCGATACAGGAATGACTGAGAACCGATCGTAAATCGGTTTTGAATCGATCGAGCAACGATTAAAAATATGATGGTGAATCGATTAAGAACCGATTGCAAACCGATTGCGAACCGATTGAGAACCGATACAGGAATGACTGAGAAACGATCGTAAATCGGTTTTGAATCGATCGAGCAACGATTAAAAATACGATGGTGAATCGATTAAGAACCGATTGCAAACCGATTGCGAACCGTTTGAGAACCGATACAGGAATGACTGAGAAACGATCTTGAATCGATTGAGAACCGGTTGAGTAAAGATTAAAAATTCGATTGCGAGTCGATTAAGAACCGATTAGAACCGATTACGAATCGATAGAGAACCGATCGTACATCGATTGAGGATCGGTTTTGAATCGATTGAGAACCGATTGAGCAACGATTAAAAATTCGATGGTGAACAGATAAGAACCGATTGCGAATCGATTGAGAACCGATTAAGGATCGATTGCGATCAGATTGAGAATCGATTGAGAACCGATTAAGGATCGATTGCGATCAGATTGAGAATCGATTGGGTAACGATTAAAAATACGATTGTGAATCGATTAAGAACCGATTGAAACCAATTGAGAATTGATTGCGAACAAATTAAGAACCGATTGCAAATCGATCTCGAATACCGATTCAGAACCGATTGAATACTAATTGAGAGACTGAGAGCCGATCGAATACCGATTGAGAACCGATTACGAATCAATTGTTAACAAATTGGGAACCGATTAATAACAGTTTGAGAACCGGGAGAGAACCGATTGAATACCGACTGAGAACCGATTAAATACCGATCGAGAACCGATTACGAACCAATTGAAAACCGATTGAGAACCGATTACGAATCGTTTGAGAACCGGTAGAGAACCGATTGAATACCGACTGAGTACCAATTAAATACCGATTGAGAACCGATTAAGAACCGACTGATAACCGATTGAGAACCGATTACGAATCAATTGCTAACAAATTGAGAACCGATTAAGAACCGTTTGAGAACCGGTAGAGAACCGATCTAATACCGATGGAGAACCGTTTAAGAACCGATTGATAACCGATTGAGAACCGATCGAATACCGATTGAGAACCGATTACGAATCAATTACCAACAAATTGAGAACCGATTAAGAACCGGTAGAGAACCGATCGAATACCGATGGAGAACCGTTTAAGAACCGATTGATAACCGATTGAGAATCGATCGAATACCGATTGAGAACCGATTACGAATCAATTACCAATAAATTGAGAACTGATTAAGAACCGACTGATAACCGACTGATAACCGATTGAGAACCGATTACGAATCAATTGCTAACAAATTGAGAACCGTTTGAGAACCGGTAAAGAACCGATTGAATACCGACTGAGATCCGTTTGAATACCCATCGAGAACCGCTTAAGAACCGATTGATAACCGATTGAGAACCGATTCCGAATCAATTACCAACAAATTGAGAACCGATTGAGAACCGATTAAGAACCGTTTGAGAACCGGTAGAGAACCGATCGAATAGCGATGGAGAACCGTTTAAGAACCGATTGATAACCGATTGAGAACCGATTGAATACCGACAGAGAACCGATTAAGAATCGGTCGTGAAGCGATGGAGAAGCAACGAAGAACCGATCGGCAACCGATGATACGGATTCGGCTGGAGCGGAAGAAAAGGAACGTGAGTGCATTGCGCCCCGGTGTTCGCCACGGATGCATTTCCTGTGTGCACGCTGCACAAAACGACGATAGCCTCGTTTCGAGTTCCTTCGCTAATTATGTTTCAAATTTACCGATCTACCGGCGAGGAGGAAGCGGAACAGTTATACCTACCATTAAAAAGTTAATGAGTCATGGTATCTCCACGGGGAATTTTAAGTATTCCTGATTCGGCGGTCGTACTTCGCTTGGCTTCCGGTATTTCATCGCTCGCCTCTCGGTCTCCTCGAATTAACCAATTCTAAATTTCACGCTCTCCTATCCTCTTCCTAACCTTCCCCTACCTTCCTTCCTCTACAACCCCTCTCGTTCTCCCGAAAAATCCCCCCCGAAAAAAGAATCCGAGTCCCAATCGATCTAACGTCGTGGAGAATTTCGAGATGATCGCGGAACCGGAAGCGGAAGATCGAGGAGCGAGACGATGACAGCTGGCTGGCCAGAATCTCGCGACGTAGCTCTCGCTCTCCGAGAGGCGAAAAGAAAAACACGGAGAAGGTTACGCTGATACACTCGAGCGCGAACATTCGATCGATCGTTCTTTTCTTGTGAAACTTGTGGTCTTTATTTTTATCGCGATAATTCGCTCGGTCATCTTATACAAAGTGAGTACATATACAAAACACGTGAGGCTCTCGTATATCATTTCCTTTTTCCCCTAACGTAACAGCATTCTACCTTTTTCTCTCGTCTGTCTCTCTCTCTCTCTCTCTCTCTCTCTCTCTCTCTTTCTCTCGTTCTCATTCTCTCTCAGTCACTCATTCACACACCGTCCTCCTCCTATCCGCGTATCTACACCTACTCCCCTTTCCGTCTCTTCTCTTCCTCGCACGTGTGTTCCCGAACCACGAAACCGGAAACACGTCGGAAACTGTATGCGAGACACGCTTCTCCTTCCACGAATCGATCGTGAGTACCGAGGCGACTCAGACGAGTTTGCCATTCGTGACGAAATTCGTCGCCGTAACTATTACCATATCTCGCTTTCCGACACCATCGCCGTCTCACCGTGTGTACCTAGCTGTAACCCGCAACGCGCCTTGAATTAACGTCGCGCAGGAATTTCATACGTCCGTGATCTAGAACGCCGTTCCAGGCCCGACACAACCGACATTCGCATTCGTATTGCACATTGTATACTTCTATTGCACCTTCCATCTTACCTATTCCTCGTCCACTCGAATCTTCCTCGCCGGGCAGAGCCGACGATCAACCACTCACGTGTCTCGAGAGCGATTCGTGGAAGCGGAAGCGGGAACCGAGCGCGCCCAACAAGGAAATACTCAAGAGAGCGTCATATGGAGGAGAAGATGGTGTGGAAGAAAGTGTGGGAGCAAGTATGGTCGGGGAAAAAATGGCGAATGGTGATGGAAAACACCGAAGAGACGTTTGCACGAAGATATAAAAAGGAGGATGACGCAAGGACACTATGGTTGAGGAAAAATGGCGAACAGTGGTGGAAAATACCGAAGATACGTTTGCACGAAAATATAAAAAGGAGGATGACGTAAGGACACTATGGTTGAGGAAAAATGGCGAACAGTGGTGGAAAAGACGAAGAGACGTTTGCACGAAGATAGGAAGAGTATGAAGTAAGGACCACACTCACTATGGTTGGAGAAAATGGCGAAAGGTGATGGAAAAGACGAAGAGACATTTGTACGAAGATAGGAAGAGTATGAGGCAAGGACCACGCTCGCTAAGATCAGGGAAAAACGGCGAATAGTGATGGAAAACACCGAAGAGATGTTTACGTGAAAATAGAAAGGAGGAACATTATAGTCGGGGAAAAATGGCGAATAAGTGATGGAAAAGATGAAGAGACGTTTACATGAAAATAGAGGATGAGGTAAGGAAGTATGGTCAGGGAAAAATGGCGAATGGTAATGGAAAAGACGAAGAGAAGTTTGCACGAAGATAGAAAGAGGAGGATAAGCTAAGGACACTATGGTTGGGGAAAAATGGTGAATAATAGTGAAAAACACCGAAGGTACGTTTGCACGAAGATAGGAAAAGGATGATGAACGAAGAACACTATAGTCTGGGAAAAATGGCGAATGCTAATAGAAAACACAGAGACGTTTGTATAAAGATATGAAGAGGAGGATGAAGTAAGGAAGTATGATCGAGGAAGAATGGCGAATGGCGATGGAAAAAACGAAGAAACGTTTGCATAAAAATAAAAAGAGGAGGATACAGTAAGAACGCTATAGTCGGAAAAATGGCGAATGGCGATGAAGAACACGAAGAGAAGTTTGCACGAAGATAGAAAGAGGAGGATAAGCTAAGGACACTATGGTTGGGGAAAAATGACGAATAATAGTGGAAAACACGGATGAGATGTTTGCACGAAGATGGGAATAGGTGGATGAGCAATGAACACTATGATCAAGGAAGAATGGCGAATGCTAATAGAAAAGACAGAGACGTTTGTATAAAGATATAAAGAGGAGGATGAGGAAAGGAAGTATGATTGGGGAAAAATTACAAATGGCGATGGAAAACACGGAAGAGACGTTTGCACGAAGATGGGAATAGGCGGATGAGCGATGAACACTATGATCGAGGAAAAATGGCGAATGGCGATGGAAAACACGGAAGAGATGTTTGCGCGAAGATAAGAAGCGGAGGATGAAGTAAGGAAGTATGGTCGAGGAAGAATGGCGAATGGCGATGGAAAAAACGAAGAAACGTTTGCATAAAAATAAAAAGAGGAGGATACAGTAAGAACGCTATAGTCGGAAAAATGGCGAATGGCGATGAAAAACACGAAAGAGGCGTTTGCATGAAAATAGGAAGTGGGGGATGAGGTAAGGAAGTACGATCGGGGAAAAATTACAAATGGCGATGGAAAACACGGAAGAGGCGTTTGCATGAAAATAGGAAGTGGGGGATGAGGTAAGGAAGTACGATCGGGGAAAAATTACAAATGGCGATGGAAAACACGGAAGAGATGTTTGCGCGAAGATAGGAAGTGGAGGATGAGGAAAGGAAGTACGATTGGGGAAAAACGTCGAATGGCGATGGAAAAGGCGGAAGAGAAACTTTCGCGAAGATAGGAAGTGGAGGATGAGGAAAGGAAGTACGATTGGGGAAAAATGGCGAATGGCGATGGAAAAGGCGGAAGAGAGACTTTCGCGAAGATAGGAAGTGGAGGATGAGGAAAGGAAGTACAATTGGGCAAGAATGGCGAATGGCGAATGGCGATGGAAAAGGCGGAAGAGAGACTTTCGCGAAGATAGGAAGTGGAGAATGAGGAAAGGAAGTACGATTGGGGAAAAACGTCGAATGGCGATGGAAAAGGCGAAAGAGAGACTTTCGCGAAGATAGGAAGTGGAGGATGAGGAAAGGAAGTACGATTGGGGAAAAACGTCGAATGGCGATGGAAAAGGCGGAAGAGGGGTTTGCTGTAAGATAGCGAGAGAGGAGAGGGGGAGGTAGGGAGAGGGGCGAAAAAGACAGGACTAGGTGGCGAGTGGCGAGGAAACCGGAGCGTGTGACGTAAGGTAGATGGGAAAAACGGAGGTTGCGGTGGAATGGCGGCGGGAAGAGGAGGAAGAGAGAAGACGGAAGTCCCTTTTCGTTTGGAACAGCCACCGCCTTGTTCGCCTGCCGCGACCGCATGCGAGGTAGTATCGGACGAAACTCGTTCACTCGGCGCTAGCTAGCTCGCATCGGAGATGGAAGTGGCCGGAAACTAGGAAACGCTAAGGGCTTTTCTCGCTTTCTCTTCTATCGTCGTCCCTCTGTGCGTCGACCAACCTGCGTAACAAAATTCTTCCAAAGGCCTCTTCTTCCCTTTCCCCTCCGACACGCTTACAACTTCCGGCCACGGACAGACGCGTTGCGAACTCTTGGATCCTCTAGGCGGACAACGCAGTGCGATCTAATTCTAATCCGTCTAACTCTGCCGTCTCTGCCATGTCGTTCGGAAAAGGTATATCTCCTCGACTAATTTCAAAAATATCTCCGACGTTCACGCGACTCGGTTTTCGACTATCTGCCAACTATTTCCACGCTATCCAACTGCTAATCGCGAAATCTAGTTTGCTTTGGCCGCGATCGAGGGGTCGCGACCGGTTTGCTAATCGTAAGACACACGGTTCTGCTACATTCCACTGCGACGCGTTCAACCATTCGGCTATTATATATATATATATCTATATACGTATATAAATATTATCTGTTGTTTCCGCGTGTTCGTTGCGCCGGACATGAGGTCGATGATTAAGTACTGCCAAGCTCTCGTAGCTCGATTCGCGTTGGTTCGCGTCGGGAAAAATCGGTGGAGAAGGTGGAACCGGCACTATAAACCTGCCACGGAACTATTAAAAAATAATCTCCGACACCGGCTGATCGGTTGCGAACCTTTTGATTTCTAGTATCTGTCATGGGATCCGGCTGGAACTGTACACGGTTCAAAGAACATCGGTCGAAGCGTAATCCGGAATAATCCGACCTATCAGTTACGTTCCGAAGGCTCGCGCGGATTCGTGATAGGAAACGAATATCTCGCGTGATGTCTATCTCCAGCGAGTTCCGGTTTTATTATCCATCCACGCAGCGGGATCACGGTGCAAGGAGACTCGCTTAGCTCGAGTTTGCAAGCGTATTTTTTTTCCAGGGATCACAGGATGAAGCAAGGCGTGCGCCGATTATTTGCGTGTATCAAAGACAACGACAGAAAGATCGAAAACTTCCACGTGTATATTACAAATGGATCGACAACGATCAGAAACGGATCCAAGGTGGTTCGCGTGTCGGTCGATCGCAGCCCTCGCCTCTGTTAGCCGGTATAGCCATCGGTAGAGCTTCAACGTTTCCGCCACGTCCAGCATGTCCTAGATTATCTGGAAGAGGTTCTTCAATTCGACCATCAGCTGCCAGTCCGTCTTCACGAGGTCGTCCCTGAAGTACTCCTTGCACGCGTCTATGCTCTGTCTGCTTATCTGCAACGCGTACGACCAGCAACGTTATTGACGAATGATCCAATTCGAGAAGATCGATTTATATCTAATTCGCTGCTTCCGTTACAACGGGCAACCACGAGTCTCGAGCTCGTCCGAGGTCTCTCAAACTGCGCGAGATAAGCTACACTGCGAGACAAAATCGTGCTACGCGATAGCATTTTCAGCGGTTCTCGTTTTACCAACGAAACGAATTTCGTTTTACCAGACAGGGTTAGGTTAGGTTAGGTTAGGTATTATTAGGTAGGTCTTCGCGTTCGACGATTTTTGAGATAGAACAGAGTAGAAATTTTCAAACATTATCTGCCATAAAAATGACGATACTGATAATTATCGCGTAGAATTATTTCATTTCTTAAATTTGATGTATTAACAGTTTGACTGCCACGCAATTTTTGTATAGTACACTCAGGGCCCAGGATAAAATTTCCATTATTCTTGGGATATTATAATTATATATATTATGTTTATTAAATTATTATAATTTCTTTTGCGAGAAAGAAAAGTTTAAGAATGATCTAGAGATCGATACGTTAAAAACGCGCCGCCAGATGTCAGTCGATGCACAACCCCAGCGTCGACAATTGGAATTTTACAGTTACTCCGAACGATCCTCGAGAGGTTTAAATTTCGAATGGTTTCCGAGTGATTGCAATTTTTCGCGGTGCACGAAAATTCGAGTGGATTCGAAGTGCCCGGAATGCCAAGACGAACGACAGGTCGTAGGTAGAAAGACGGTTTTAATCGTGCTGCTCGTCTAGGAATAATTTCCTTGAATCGGTTTTCGCGAGGACAGGCGCATGCTCGCGCACACGGTCCATTCACTAACGTAACGCTTTACAACTGTTTCCGCCCCCACTCCCGGCCGGAAGTCCCGTTTCATTCATGGATCGGTCACAATGGTGGTTTTACGCGGCTATTGAGGACGCCTGCCTCCCGCCACGCCCCTGCTGCTTCTCCCTCTCCCTCGCGTTCCACTCCCTCCCGCCCCTCGCCCGCCCTCGTCGTGCCTTTCCTTTCTCCCTCGCCCGCCCGCTCCGTCTCCGTCGCCGCCTAACGCCCTCTCACTCGCTCGCACGTGCGCACGCACACCGCGCAACTCTCTGCCCGCCGTGTAATTCTTTGCCTGTCCTTCTCTGCCGCGTTCCCGCGCCGTCGCTCTCTCTCCCTCCGCCGTTCCCCCCACTCTCGCCCACCCTTTGTCGCTAACCGTGCAACGCTGCACGAGCAGCGAAGGGTCCTCGTGAAACCTTTGCACACGTTTTCCTATAGCCGGACGCGATCGACTGACTGGCTCGATATCTCGACGCTACGTACGTACGTAACGCTCGTTCCACGGAGAGTTTCGATGCTTATTAAGTACCCGTATCGCTCGCGCGAAATGTACTTTTCTTGTTTCTTTCGTCGAGATTGGAAGTTAGGTTTCTGACGTTCGAACGCGTTATCGGACGTTTCGGCTGAGTTAAAGGATCGTCTCGGTAGGCGAGACGGACGACTTTGAACTTGACCGAAACTCGCGATACGGAATTCGTGAGGTTAGGAGCGGGAGTGGGGGGTATAGGAGAGGGGGACCCGGCGTTGACGAGGAACGCGCAGAATCGTCGCTTCGCAAATCATCGTGGGAACAAGGTGATTCCGGGGAATCGATTCTACGAAGCAAACGGTAACGACGACTTCCGCTCGCCTTGGCAGCACACAAAGATGCCGAAGCCAGAACCAGCCGTGCACATGTAAGCGCTCGCACGGCTGTCGAGCGCGCGTGCGCGACCGGAAAGCGCGGATAGAGCCGGAGGAAACGAAGTTGACGCTATTGAACACGGAATTTCCACGATAATCAGCTCCGATTACAAAGCGAATTTCTATACTCCGTACCTCGTGTTTTCGCTCCTTTTAAATTCTAGATAAAATCCTAAAATTCTAATGCAATAGAAATTTCGTTATCGTCAAATGTATGATAGAAAATTTTATTTTACTTTATTCTATCAAATTTTTATGCAGTTATTTTTTCTTTTTTTTTATTTATTATTGTGCTAGTTGCCTGTATTCGTTCGAGACGAACTCGTATTCGTTTCGTATAAAGACGAAATAAAAATAAGTATTCACATTCTGAATTTTTATAAATTTTAGGAGTTAGGGTATTCGGTGGATGTTTAAATTTGTAAATTTAAAACAAATTTATATTTTCTATTTTGCGGAGTTGATCGATTTGGAAAATGGGCGCGTCAGGGATGGTTGACGTATCAAAATGTTATTAAAATATCTGAATGACCGATTATTTAGATTCAAGGTGTTATTCATCTGTTGATATATCGTCATTCTTCGATGTAACTCATAAATTTTACGCCCCCGAATTTCTGACGTCTTTCAGACCTCGAACCTACGCTCCTGGATTTGTTAAATTTTAAAGATATCGCCCACCTGTTGACATATTGTTATTCTGCAGTATCCGTACTCGCAAATCTCACGCCCCCCCGAATTTTTAACATTCTTTAAAAGTTAGTCGAAACCACAATTTTCGTTCCTTCTATTTTTTGCCACTAATAATAATAAATACTATTGTACAATGAAAGGAATAAGGAGTAATACCTTCTTCGAAGTAAATTTTAATTCTTGTCTATGAATCGGATAGGATAATATAAACAATTATAACTTGTCGGACATGACAAATCTAAGGACCGAAAAGGGTTAATTTCGTCATAAATAGCCATATATTTTAACAAATTGCAAAGATAAAATATCCGAAATAAGACATTTTGACTTCTTTCATAGTTCTAGGTCGACTGTGTTAATTTCGCCATTAGTAACTATATCTTTTTAGGAACTACAAAGATAAAATACCAGAAATAAGTTATTTCGACCCCTTTGGCAGTTTTAATTCGACCCTATCAATTTTTATCACAAATAGCTATATGTTTTCAAAAATTGCGAAAATAATTTGTCCAAAAAGGTCATTTAGACCTCTTTGATAGTTTTAGATCTACTGCATTAATTTTGTCAGAAGTAATTCTAAGTTTTCAGACACTGCAAAAATAAAATATCCAAAACAGATCACTTTGACATCCTTTCTAGTTCCAACTCAACTCCATTAATTTTATCATAAACATCTATACGTCTTCAGAAAGTACAAAAGTATAATATCCAAAACAGGACACTTTGATAACTTTCCTAGTCCCAGCTGAACTCCATTAATTTTATCATGAACAACTATATACCTTCACAAATTGCAAAAGTAAAATATCCAAAAGAGGTTACTTTGTCAAGCTTCCTAGTCCTAGCTCAACTCCATTAATTTTATCATAAACATCTATACGTCTTCAGAAAGTACAAAAGTATAATATACAAAACAGGACACTTTGATAACTTTCCTAGTCCCAGCTGAACTCCATTAATTTTATCATGAACAATTATATACCTTCACAAATTGCAAAAGTAAAATATGTACAATAGGTTACTTTGACAACCTTCCTAGTCTTAGCTCTACTCCACTAATTTTATCATAAGAAACTATACGTCTTCAGAAACTGTAAAAGTAAAATATGTAAAACAGGTCACTTTGACAACCTTCCTAGTCCCAGCTCGGCTCCATTAATTTTCTCATAAACACCTATATGTTTTCAAAAATTGCAAAAGTACAATATGCAAAACAGGTCACTTTGACAACCCTCCTAGTCCCAGCTGAACTCCATTAATTTTATCATGAACAACTATACATCTTCACAACTTATAAAAGTAAAATATCCAAAAGAGGTTACTTTGACAACCTTCCTAGTCTTAGCTCTACTCCGTTAATTTTATCACGAACAACTATATACCTTCACAAATTGCAAAAGTAAAATATGCAAAATAGGTTACTTTGACAACGTTCCTAGTCCCAGCTCGACTCCATCAATTTCCTCATAAACAGCCATATGCCTTGAGAAACAGCAAGAACGAGACATCCGAAACAATCGAAGACCTTCGAAGACTGTTAAACCTCGCATTGCCAAGCAACAACGAAGAGGACTCGCTGCAGCTTGGCTCGTTGAGGACACGGCTTAATGGGAACAAGCATATACGAGTGTCGAGGCCGTTGGGTTGGCTTCCATTAAAGTAGGATCGATTCGTAGTCGACATCGAAAGCGGAAGGCGGAAAAGAAAGAGGCGCGGCGCGGAGGTGGAGGACGCAGCAGAAGGAATGGAAGTTCTGCGAAGGCCGGAAGTCGATGGTGGACGCCTGATCGCTGCCGGATGTGCATCTTCCTTTTTCGACCAGAGTCTTGCATACTAATAAGTATCGTTTCCGTCTCGCTCGCCTCTGATTTCGATGAAATTGCAAAGCTATGCGAATCGACGCGTGGAAAAAAGCGAAACGCGTACCCGGCTCTCTAGCGGAACTTCATCAACGGCCAGGACCACCTGTCGATCGAATTCTTTCCAGGCAGCTGCTCCTCGAAAACGCTCAAACGTTCGCCTTGGTAATCGTTCCTTCTTCTCTCCTCGTAAACCCCGCCACGTAAACCTCGTGCCATTTTGCACCACGTGCACGGGGGGCTTCGTAGCCTACTACTCCTCAAAGGCTCTTCGTTATTTCGCCGGCCATCAAAGTTGCTAAGTGAGCCACTCGGTTTCAAAGAGAAATCCCGAAACGTGCGATTAAATATTTTTTCCCACAGGGAGGAATTAACGGGGAGGGGCTGCTGGCCATTTCGTTGCTTTATTTCCCAGCTGCAGATATCTTGTTATTAGGCTCGTTGTTATTATACCTCGTGCAAAATGAGAACGATTAATCGGGCTACACGCCATGGACCAAACCACGTAAATATCGATGACGAATAAGCAACCAACATTTTTAACGCTCAGCCTGTTACGGTTAAATGACCGCTGAAAGAAGAAACAGTAGAATCTTGAAAGAAGAAAGAGAGAAAGATTGGATTAATGGGAGACATTGAAAGATCGATTATAGGTATACTGGGAGAAACATCGCGAAGACTATAGAGGAGTGA